TATCTCAATACAATCTCCAGTCAGAGGTACATATGCACCGGAAGCTTCTCAGGCCATTGTTGTCTACAATGAAGATGGACGTGTGAGCAGGATAGACAACACCAGCAACGTCATCTCTGTCCCGTTCTAAGTAACAAACGATATTAAAACAGTACGCCCTGAATCTGAATGGTTCTTTGTGAATGACAATTTCGCGATTGATGAATGAATTCCCCACTTCATTCATTGAAATATCGATTACGTTTACAACCTGCTAATTGGACGTAGTACTGAATATATTGCGATAGAATGGTAAATTCCGGCATTAGAAAGTTGGGGCGGTCTTTTATCATCAATTAATTTAAAATATTGGGCTTCTTAATTCAATTAAACGCATTAATAAGACATTTCATTGACATTCACGCAATTGGAGATTGATGAAAACGATTCGATCGACAAAATAATATAAACAGATTCATTTCGAAATCACGTATCGAAAGTGACCGACATGTGATGGACTTTGAAACTCACGGATGTGCGTAAACGCATTCAAGCCGCAGAGGTTTCTCTATTACCTTTATCCTTATGGGTATTGGTTTAAGGTGTATTATTCTGGTGATTGTGCCCATATTGCGACCTCAAGCGACCTCAATATCTCCTACGCATACCAGTGTCGGATTAGTCATGCGTGGTGTTATGCAAGAAGGGCTTGCCCCTATCCGATGTGGTAGGAACTGATTGTTGATTGCCTCGTCGATTTGTGCCAATATTGGAACATTCGATGCCTTATGGAATACATTTTGTATTTGAAACCAGTTTAGAGTTTAAATTCGTCGTCAACGTTCACGAGCAATACAACTTATACAACTATGGAAATCATTATTGGCTTTAAGCATATTTTTATCAACATAAAATACTCTTGATAGTACCAGCTTTTTGTTTTTTCTACGGCTTGGTTTATTTACCTATTAACAATAATTAGACCCTCCCTAGACGATTATCAAGTGTTTTATCTTTAAGTATTTTAAAAGGATTACTAGGCTCAATAAGTAGGTATAGAGATAGATAACCAAAAACGATAGCGATAATTTAAAGTTTTTGTTTGATAATAGTGTCAAATCTTCAAATGCTATCTCTATGACACGTGTAAGATATAGCAAATGTTTTGCTATCCTTCATTTCATGAACCATTACGAACGCCACAACAACTTTCCCTCTCGCTGGAAAGTGCCTGATGCGAATTCGTGGAAATTGTTGAAAGCCCTCCATATCATGTTTTCCTAGTACTCACGTTGCAACGTGTTCATTCACAAAAGCTGGCATCTGTCTCTTTCTGACGTCAATGAATGTGGAAACTGACGTGATTATATTACCGATGAAGTTCATGTTACGGTTGTAAGTAAAGTTACAATTATTAATTTCAATCGAAACATTGATGATTTTGCTGTAGCGACATAATCTTTTGTTTTCTTACCACGAATGCCAAATGATGGAAGATAGAATGAGAGAAAACAAATTAACCATTCCTCTTCAATTATGTTTATTAGTACAGATTAAGGGTTTTGCTAACGAAGAAAGCACCCTTTGTTGTGACCTAAAAATGCAAACAATATAAACCTTACGTTATTAATACGTAACATACTTGTTCCACTTGATCTTTAATTGAACCACTCAACAACGTACACTCATCATTGTGATCATAATGAGTACGTAGGTAGGACTCCTCCAAGGTACGCTACTAAGCCCGTTCTTATTCCTCTTGCAAAAATTAGAAATTATCTAAATAAATACAAACAGATATGATTACACGTGATAAAACTATGATTTTTGTGTCCTCTGGCATAGTAGTGGAGTTAACTCAACTACTGCGCCAATTGTTAGACCAAGCGGCAGCCATATTAACATTTTAAACTACCAACACATTTACCTTTAAAAGCTTAGCTTATCAGCTTTGGATTGAGTACTCAGAATGTAAAGCGAATGGCCTTGTACTTTTAAATCAAGGCCTTAAGGTTCAAATTGGAATCGAAACAAAGGTAGCTTTAAATAGTTCATTTGTATGTATGGGGTGCTCGAGTGCACTGTACTGGCCCGAATGGGTTTACCATGTTTTAAGATTAGAAACGAGAACTCACTAGATCTGAAGATGTATTTTTGAATCATTCGCATACTGATTCGCATTCGCATCATAAGCACAAATGATGCCTTATAATTTTTTTTTAAAAGTTTAATGAGTTTGTAAGCTTACATAATTTTAAAATAATACATTAGTTTTTAAGTAATTTTAAGTTAATGTATTATTTTAAAATAGATTTGAATTTTTCAAAAATATTTTTAGGTCAGTCAATCCTGAAAAGAATTTTACCTTAATGATGTAAATAAAATAATTAGATATCCAATCTCTTTACACTAAGAAGTGTTTAACTTATACATTTTAAAATAAAAAAACTAGACAACATAACAAGAGCTACGTATACCAACCAGTCATACCACATTGAAAATAAATGGGGCACTATTTTTCCAATAAATTTATTTCCAATTCGATCCAAAGCATGGACGCCCTAACCACGCCTATAGAACGCAAGCTTAGCGTTTTTTGACGTCTACCATCCATCTATGAGGTGAACGAACCCGCCCAAAAACTACTATCCCACCATTATGGGAGCATGTTTATCCTTGCTCAATACATGAGTCAGTGGCTCATCTTTATTTAGTCGGTTATTAGCGGCCACCCGCGTTTATTACTGTTTAATGATTCCCGTTTTTAGTGTGCGAGTGTACAGTGTGCTCTGTTTGAAAGAAAAACATTCTTTTGTTTATGCTCTTAATGTAAACAAAACAGTTGATGGTCAGAGCTTGAGGATCGTAACTATTCAAATTTACGACTGCACAATATTTTGTACATTTTTAGGCTGAGTTGCACCACCTTACTTTGACCGCAACTTCAACGATAACCGGTGTTTTTTGTATGGATTTTGACAGATTTTTGACGTTTGTCAAAGTTAAAGTAAGATGGTGCAACCCAGCCTTAAAAATTAATCTTTGATCAATGGTTGAGTCAGTAGTGGAATAAATCTTAAAAATTAGGTATTTTTAGTTCGAACATCTAAAATCACATTAATTAATTGATTGCGTGTGAGCACATTAACTAAAGCTTTCATTTCCTAGGTTCGAAGGCAATAAATAACTTTTAATATTGTAAAGGACATCATCCACGTTTCATATATTTTTGGTCCAAAATCAAAAGTGCTGGCCAACAAAAAAAAGTGCTGTATTCTGACAGAATACGTCTGCCTTAGCATTTGTTACTATGGCACCAAAGCCGTAGCTCCACTGTGCGTCGAGTATTTGAGATCTAAAAGTCATCGACTATTCATACATTTTTTGTTCAAAATCAAAAGTGTCGGCCAATAAAAAAAAAGTGCTGTATTCTGACAGAATACGTCCGCCTTAGCATTTGTTACTATGACACCAAAGCACCACTAGCACCACTGTGCGTTGTAGTATTTGAGATCAAAGTCAGTCGTTTCATATATTTTTAGAACTCAAATACTACGATGCACAGTGGTGCTACAGCTTTGGTGCCATAGTAATAAATGCTAAGGCGGACGTATTCTATCAGAATACAGCACTTTTATTTTTTGGCCGGCACTTTTGATTTTGGACCAAAATGGATGATGTCCTTTTTTTTTTAAAGTGAAAATATTAACTGAATGGTTATAATGAAAATTTACTATAATAATAAATTAATAGATCATAAACACATAAATCACATAAACCCAACAGTAGGTAAGCATTTCAAATTGTTTAAGAAATCTTGAGACAAGTTAATTTTCCTCGCACTGGTAAACCGTGATTGCGTTTACTGTTACATAAACCGATTGAATCTGTAACAGCCTGTGAACAGATCTTTTTGTAACGTTACGTGACGCACAGATAAAAAATATATTGTTCGACATCTCGTCTCCTTTTTTGGCGGCAAAACGTGGCGGTTGTTTGCGAAGGCGCAGGGTGAATGCACGAAGTCTGTGGGCGCGCCTACGCGTTGCCCTGATAATGTATGGTTGACGTTCTTATTATCAGAATTCGCGTTATGATTCGTATATGAATCATAGTGAAGCATTTGTATGATATTAATAAAATTAACCCTTGTAAGGTGGGTAATGTCAAGCAAAGTAGACTGACGACCTCATAAAGGTAGTAAGAAGGCGCAGGCCGCTCGCTACCAAACGGTCAATATGGAAATTATTGGGGGAGACCTAATGTTCAGCAGTGGACGTCCTATGGCTGAAATGATGATGATAATGAACCCTTGTAACAGAAGTCAACAATATTCACATGTAATTAAAATCCAACTCCGTTATCTACCTACATAGTTTCTGAAATGACCTGAACATACATACAGAATTGCATTGCTTTTGTCGACTATAATACCTACGTGGTGACAATTTAAAACAACCATCGTTCACAACACACATTTGTTCACGTCCTTTGTAAACAATGCTATTTCCCATGATCAAATGGCGCTAGCTACTACGTCATCGAGCAACAGATTATACACTTGTCGGGCTTCCACGATATAAATACTCATTTCTTTACCACATACTTGACAATTAACGATTTACTTAAAAATTAATCTTCACACTTGTAAATCTTGCAGAATATTTTGTTCATGTCGTTTGTTTTAAAAACATAACAAAAAATACTTGACACATTATGAAAAGAGGGCAGTACCGGTAGTTAATTTATAACGTTACTTTAACGTACCGGTATGCGTTATTTTTTTTTTTTTTTAAATAAAACTAGTGAAAATATTGTTACATTTATTGAAAAATAATTCAAACAAATATAGGTTTAGGCACTTTTTCTACTATTTTACTTAAAATCTTTTTTACTTTTAATATTTTAAATTACTGAACGTTTTTATTGCGCCTCGGAGGGTATTCAAAAAAATTAACTTGCTCTCGCCATTTTAGGATTTTGTTACTATAAATTAAAACGAAAATTGATTAATTTTATATTTACAATGAATTTCTAATTAAAATTTCTGTAACATAATTAGTATTAATTACTAAATAATTAATTTATCATAAAATTTTGATTCGGTGTCTTAATAAAGTGTGTGAAAATGGCTGCTACAGTATTGGGATACATCACGTCTTACTTTTGGCCGCCGAATAATAATAATGTACCAGCTGTAAGTGTAATTTATTATCTTTTATTATAATAGCAATCAATGTCAATATTATTGTGTTGGGGCGTAGCACTATCTGTGTTTTCCCATAAAAAAAATCACTTAAATCTTCGGCCAGTCCAACGCGTGCACGTTGGCGATGGCAATCAGACGTCGTGTATGAATTTGTAGCAATGAGTTCACATCAACGCGTCCTGTCGCTGGTCGCTGCGATCTATGCACGTGCAGTGATCGCCATCGCTATCGCCGACGCGAGCTGCACGCGTTTATTTTGCCAAAGAGTAAAGGGTCCATGTTTCACCATTTTCAATCGACGTCATCAATTTTATGCGTGAACTCGTAACTTTATTTAATTTTTTCATTTATCTATCTAGATAAGTTTAAATTGAGTCATCATGGCAGACATCTAGAAAGGGTCAGAGTCTGACACCAAGTTTGCTGAAGTATAGTAGCTGCTATGTTTTATCACCCTTTCTCAGGGCAATCCAGTTTTGCGGGTTCCAGTAATGCAGGGTAACTGGACAGTCGTGTCAACACACAAAATGTGTGTTTCAAATTAGAATTCCAAATTCAAACGAAACTGTTTTTGCGGGGCACTGCAAAGTAGACCATGGGAAAGGGCCCTTAATCGTTGTCTTTCGTCGTTTTCCGAATGACATCCACTGCTGGACAAGGCATCCCCCAAGGATCTGACCGGTCCTGCGCCGCCCGCATCCAGGCACCTCCCGCGACCTTCACCAGATCATTAATATTAAAGCACGTATGAAAGAGCTCTTAACTTTTAAGTAAAATACGTTCAAGAGCAACCGGTCCTAACGCCAATTACCCGATCATTCATCGCCAGGACTCCATGTAAAGTATAGTAGAAACGCCAGTGAGCAGCCATCGCGATCATAGTCCCAGCTAATAAGCGCGCACGCAGCATGATTCATTGCGCACTAAATACGGGTTAGCAGCGGTGTTACGGATTTAAAATTATGCTTAACTCCTCGCAATAAGACTCACTGGTTCTATGGTGACGGTTAGGGCTTGCACATGATAAGAAATTGTTTTAACATTTGATTTTGTACTCAATGAAGGTATATAGTTTGAAAGAGGACATTTTCGATACTGTATATTTTCCCCAATTTGTAAATACGGTTGTTTGTTTTTAAAAACTAATGCACATATCGCTGTATTTCCAAAGCAGATGATAAAAAATCCGTCAGTCCAGGGCTTTTCCAAACTTTTTTTTATAATGTAACGCCCTTTGGATTTTTTTTGCGGCGCCAACAGGTTATTTTAGGTTTTTTTTGGCGGCGACAAGCAGTTTGGGAGAACCTATTGATATAGGTCTAGACTGATGTCTATTGGTTGTTCAGTTATTGGTTGGTGGTGTCTTGCCGCTTTTCATAATTTCCGCCATCAATCCCTAATTGTTTAAGTGACCCATATGAAAACAAAATGCCTGTTATGTGTTTGGAGGGAAAATGGGCATTAAACCAAGTTTGTCGCCATTAATAAAATAGAACAATAACAAGTAAAAAAAAAGTTTAACTACAATCAGTTGCATCTTGCATCAACCCTTGTCAACGTGATATAGGTTTATGCGTGTACCGTGAAGCGGTTAGGCGTGTTACGTCATTACGCAGGAATGCAACATCAATTAAGGTTTATTGCCCTGAAGGTATAAATATACTTAATATACTCCAAGCTGGGATATTTTTAAGCCTTGATCAAGTCCCGGTTAAGGAAATTACCTTAGTAGAAGAAGGAACCAGTGATTGGCTGGCGGTTTGCTATCGGAGTAATCTTGGTTAGCGTTTAACGTTATACGATTAAAACGTAGTTAATATCTGGTACAGTTGACAGCATGTTAAACTGACAAAATGACTCAATCTTCTGTGTTCACGAAACATGGGTACAATTATTAATTAAGTTGCAGTTCTGCTCAGCACTGGTAGAAGAATTCAAGATAACTTGTCATGACAGAATCTTTTGATATTATCAGGATTTTAGTCAGATTAAGGAAGCGTATTAAACTAAAGTATTTTATAACTTAGGCTTTATTTATTTGCACTGCACTACATTTATTAGCACCAGCCGATATTAGAATGGCCTAAAGTGGTGGGTGGTGCTGGAGATAGGTTAAGAGCTATATTTTTTAACTAGATTAAACTGAACAATTATGCCTAAATGTGGAATTTTACTCACATTTTAATTACTATTCAATTTGTTCATGTAATCAATCATTATTACTTGGCTAAAGATACTAATCTTCGCAAGATGTAATACTGATGCAATCAGTAGGTACACTTTGGTGTCGGACATAGTTAAACTTCACTCTTGCAAGTGCTTGCAACAGACGGCTTGTCCTACTTTTGTTTCTTGGTATTCTGACATCTTGTTTGACATTTTTTATTCCTATTTGTAATTGATTAACTACAATGGTAATGGTACTCGAGAACGACAGTAATTAGTTTAGACCCAATCATCATTTTAAAAATAAATTTAGTAATTCTCGATAATCTGTGGCTTAAACCCGTATTTAGAATTTTTGGTATTTGTGTGTGTGCCGTGTCTTGACTGTACATTTTTAAACCGTTTTTAATGTAGTTAAAATAAATGGCTGTCTATAGCAAAATAATCTCGCTTTTTATATTCAGGTCAGTAGTAACATCAAAATAATTAGTCTCATTTCTTTGGGCTGGTTTTAGTTTCACGCGGACTGTCAGTGCGGATCGCTCCGCACAGCCGATCTGTATGAACTGCTAGGGAGCGAGCGGTTCCTCCAGATCCAGACCGCATTACTCTAAAACGCTCTCTAGAAGTTCATACAGATTGGCCGTGCGGTGCGGAGCGGGTCCGCACCGGACGGTCCGCGTGACACTAAAACCAGCCTTAGAAATAAAATGGTCGGTAGTTGAAAGCCATTTTGTGATAATTTGCGATCCCCTGTATCATTATTGTATGTAATTAGATTTAGAACCTATTACGAGGGCGGCACTGAAAATTTCGGGAATCAAGGAAGTGAAACAACATTACTATTTAAAAATGTATTTATTGCTTTTTAAAATATTCTCCGCGAAATTTGACACATTTTGCCATACACAAAACCAATCATTAAAGCAACCATTCCATTCGGAAGTTTGGGTCTCCAAAATGGCCGTTTTGTAGGCGTCCACAGCTTTTTTAGGTGATGAAAATCTCTGACCACGCAATTTATTCTTTATTTTAGGGAAAGTATAGAAATCATTAGGGCTTAGGTCGGGGCTGTACGGCGGATGGTCTAATATTTCTATGTTTTCTTGCTCTAAAAACTCCTTTGTCCTGTGCGCGGTGTGAGAACTCGCATTGTCGTAATGGAGGATGATGCGGCGGTTGCAGTTCTCTTTACGGAGTTCAGAAACGACCTGTGGCAAACAAATGCTAGCATACCATTCTGCATTAACCGTTCGTTGTCCCCCAAGAGGAATAGTCGCAACATGGCCGGTTTTGGAGACAAACGTGGCCACCATTTTTTTTGCAACACTCCGTGAACGAACAATTTTTGTTGGCTTTAACTCATTTTCGAACACCCAAACTCGTGACTGGTTTTTTGTTTCGGGTTCGTACGCGTATATCCAGGATTCGTCACCTGATACGATGTTGTATACAGCATTTGAGGATCCTGCATGTAATCTTCCGAGAGTTCTGACGCACCAAGTAACGCGAGCCGCTTTTTGCTCTTCACAGAGCGAATGCGGTATCCATCGGGAAAACAACTTTTTTACACCTAATTGTTCATGCAAGATTATTTGTGTTTGACTCATGCCAATGTCTAAAGTTGCCTGAATTTCGCGGTATGTCACATGTCGATCTTCTTCAATCAGCTTACGCACAGCATCAACGTTTTCTTGGGTGACTGCAGTTTTTGGACGACCTTGACGGGAATCATCACTGAGCTTGACACGTCCACGTTGAAATTCAGCAAACCAGCGATAAATTGTGGTTTTGGATGGGGCTTCATTACCAAATGCAGAAATCATCCGGTCAACACACTGTTTTTGTGTTAAACCACTCCGAATGTCATAATAAATCATCGCTCTTGAATTTTCTCGAGTCAATTCCATTTTCTCAACGACTAAACAAGTTTCACAAGACCTTGTGATAAGACCGAGAATCTTTTTAAAAATAAATAAATGGTATTCAATTTTTAAAACCCAGGAGTTTGCAATTAAAAAGATTTTAATATGATAGGAACAGTGGAAATATTCCATTCCCGATACTTTTAGTGCAGCCCTCGTAGACCTTTCCCTACATGGCCCTAACTAATTTATGTACAGGTTTCTAATTCAACACTGAAATAATTCAGGATGAAAGTCCAATCATATTTTAGATTAATTTCGTTATAATAAGCTTTCTATTAAATAATGGTCTGTAATAGAACACGTATAGCTTATTAACTTAATCATCATGTTGTGTATTAACATCCTTGTTTTGTGGTGATTACAGAATTAAATTACCCTACTTTATGGGCTTGATTCTGAGACTGAACTGTACAACTGTCCTTTAAACGAAATTACATTTTTCCAGCCCTATAGCTCAAAGCGTAGATTAATTATGATAAATATTAAATCAACATATTTATGTTTGTATTCATTAAGGTCATAGACCTATTTTATTAATGGTTTTAATTAGATAAAATTCTTGATTAGAGCTAGATAGATAGTAGATTACTCATTGCTTGGTTTGTCGTCCTCTCAGATNAGAACATTTCCTCAGTACGACTGAATCGCGACTAACCTGGCGTCGCGGGTGATGTTCGTTTCTGGGCATATCGCGGAGACACGCGCCACGCCCCCGTTTCACATCTATTCCCTTCTATGATCTGAGGTCGTCCTATTAAATAAATAAATTTGAAGTAGCTACATTAGCGCTAATATCGACGTTTTCGAATCGATACTTTAATAGCTAACGAATTTAACTATCGACAAACAACACAAGTTCCAATATGCATGTTTACTGTATGCACAGCTCTAGAG